ATTAGGCAGTCACCAGAGGAGATTTTAGTCCTAGTGATCTTCAGGTGATTTACCACTCGAACTTGGGTCAGAACTGTTAGCACACTTAACTACTCATAATACAATGTTATGAGAGATATATCAAAAATATTTGATGAACCTGACAGTCAGCAAATGGATTTGAATGACTCGAAAAGTATAACTGGAGATGAGGCAGGTAGATTTTCGCAGGCGATGACGATGATGTGGTTACAAGGAGGGTAGTTTATCTAGATGTATTGCAACTGCAATAGCGAAGATGTTATACTGTGTATTTCCATCCAGGTTTGTATAGGGGGATTACGGACATTTTGACCTGAGGCTTGCTAAGCAAATAATAGAATTAACTAAAAAGGAACTCAGAACAACAGTAGCGCAATGCTAATTATGCTAAACAAATATGATTGTCTCTGCTGTTTCTGTTCACTTTGAGTGAATAAAGCTGTTCAAATACGTAAGCCAAAGGAGAAAGAAACTATATCATGAATTTCTGTCTAGTGAAAAGCGGCCTCAAGACTTTTTGGAGAAATACTTATTTAGTAGATAAGTGAACTGCCGTATTGTTTTGCTGGTTTTGACTTCACTTGCAAAAAGTTACAGATATGCCTATACTGGACGGTAAAGAAGTCAGAACGAGACTTGGTTCGACAAAGAGCATGACTTACAGAAGACCTGTTTCTGTGTAATTCATTTGTTGAATTAAATTTTGTTATTGGAAAAGTATAGTATTCTTTTGTGAATTTCAAATAGGAGAATGTGATTAAGTCGATAAAGGCTGAACCAAAAGGCTTCGATGTTGATGGTTGTGCAACAATAATTGTAAGGAACTTGAGTAATTGCTCCCGAAATTCAACTCATAGGTCTCATTTGGACACTTTCAATCTTTAGTTTGTCTTAAGATAAGTGTACAGCACTCAAGGACAGAACGTATGGGCGTTTTTCACAACGGTATTTTAGATTCTTCGGTTTCGAACTTATAAAATATGAATACAAGTAACCTGCTGACTTTTCAAACCCTGCCAGTAGCATAATGAGAGAATTTTAGATCAGCAGAGTGACCGAGCCCGGGGTCAGGAACCAGGAGAAAAATGGTGATGAGGTTGTGGTGTATCGATATGCGTGGCTTAATGCGAAGGCGAGATGAGCACTACAGACCACACTTCTCCACGTCGGTTCGCATCATTCATGACTCACACCATTTCTCACTGTTACCAGTAACTGATTGTATTTTATGAAGCAGACTTATTACTTCTGGGAAGCACCGTGGTAGAACACTTTTAATTCATCGACACTTTAAAGTCTGTCAGGATTTATAACTTCGTGGATGTAATTTAGATATATGAAGAAACAAGAGGGCCCACTACACTACCATCGCTTACGCCACTTGATAAGAGACTGCTACTGGAAAATGTAATTATTCGTAAAATGTTGGGATCAACCAAGCATAAACGGGTCACAACATTGCAAAGGACTACCGGATTTGCCATAAGTTTAATGCTAATCATATTGGTGTAAGCATGGAAACTGTGATGTTTTCCATGAAAATACAGCTTTGTTTAAACACTGTTGTTGTCGCGTTTCTAATCAAAGCAACCAGACTTTAAGCAAACAACCAATAGGCACAAAGAGTAAGTCTCAGCTTTAATAAAGGCTTATCCAGTTAACATAAAGTGGGGTGTAATAAGGCGTAGATAAAGACTATCGTGAAGTAGATTAGTGATATTTCAGTGACGAGTAAATTCAAAGACCTGCAAGCTTAGAATTCGTAAGACAGCCTAACATGTAAGATCTCTCACACATTTCAGTAGGGCCTCTGGGGTAGCATTGATGTTTTGCCATCATTCTGAACTATGGAAAGATGATTTACAAATGTAAAAAGTTATAATCATCGAAACTGCTGTAATATTTTCTAAATGTTCAGAATTTTTCCTTTAATGCAGTTTCTTATCAACAGTTTGCAGTATTCATAGTGAGTTTATAGGAAACTTTATTTTATCTTCATTTTCACCAACTGTCCCTTCATGCACAATAGCATGCAGTAACTACATACAGTCAAGCACTGTAACCTGAACATCACAAAATCCCTACAGATAACTTGTTTAATAATAAATGCTTCAAAGATATGAGCCATAAGTTCATCTTCCATATCCTTCATAGCCACAATTAATTCATTAAGGATCTCAGAATATCTTAGTGATTTGAAAACGAATAATAATTAAAACTGATATAACTTAAGTAACAGTTGTAGTAGTTGTAGGAAACCGGTGCTAGCTACTATTCGACAGAAAGCTGACACTAATTTTTGGCAGTTTGACATTTTAGAAGGACCATCTGTACTATTCTTCTTGCCCCAATGCACACTGATATCAACATAATATGATGCCATGTTATGCATTGGGAAATTACGGTCTCCCCAAATTCCATGCGACAATGTAAATTAAACTAGTATCATATCTTCGCCTGAGTAATTTTAACTAGGAACTTCATCGAAATGGATATAATCACCAGGAAATCTAGCAGCTTGTCTCATTCATCGCATGATCTCTTCTATGTGTTATGGAATATTTGAATCATCACGGATGATAGCAAAAGTGTTTAACATCCTCAAAACGCACATCTAACTTATGTCTACGGGCTATTTCTCTTTCAAATGCCCGATTCTCATAGAATAACTGCTATGACAACAAATATTGTCTGTAGTCAATTCACAGCCTTAAGATCTATAACAACTCGCAAATAACAATGCTTAAGGGCTCTAAAACGCAAATAATAGTCTTTCCATTCGAAATTTCTTATAAAGGATAACTATTTTTAGTAATAAACCGTCTGGGATATAAGACAACTTTACCCATTGATACGAAGACAATGCAGAAAAATATTGCTTTTCCGGGTAAAGAAGCTTAAAACGAGTCAAATATAATATACTTTCACAAAACTGAACGATTATAATGCCTCTACAGGTGTGAACGCGATAACCCATACAGTGCGCGATAATATAGTACGATAACGCTTGTCCTCACCCCAGTCATAGCATTGCATTGCTTTGAGCCCGTCCCAATCATACCGTTTCCTGCACATTAATAGCTTTCATGGCAAATGCTTCCCAGAAGGTCATCAGATACACCGACACCTGAGGACTTTCTTAGCAGTATCACCTTTATACATGCATAAATGTGTACAAGTATTTGTTACAAACGACTATGAGATTAAGTTTCCCTTAAAAATGATGGAATATAGGAGTAGCTAGTATTACAGCAACTAAGTTACATTCTGTCTAGCGGAGTGAAATGGGTAGTGGAACAAGTAGCGATAAAGTTATGTAGAATGATCCTGAAGAAAGCAACTAGTTAACAGAACTAGCTATGCTAAATTTTCATGACCGATTTTCATATGGTATGCGTCAGATATCGCAAAGTAACCCACCAACTTATGTTAAGTTAAAAATACTGCAAAATTTTATAAAATTATACATTTTAGAGAAGTATATGAGAAAAAGTAGTTATTGACTGAGTGAAGCCATTTCGACACAAAAATAGCAGTGCATTAGTAGTTATAAATATATGTGTAAAATATTAAAAATGTGGTTGCGAGCGTAATTTTTTCTAGAATTACTTATACTAACAGAACTTATTGGGGATTATAGAGAATAGAAAGTCAGTAAATTAGTTAAACGTCCTCTGCATTAGTAGTAGAGTTGAGTTATATGTAATTGACTACACTGAAGACTGGGCCGACTTTCGTTTACCTCTCCACCAACAGTTGCGTTCTCTTAGACGACCTAGAATTGACATGTTAACGTGTCTTTCTAGGCTCCGTTTGAACCCATCGGGGTTTTCACAAGATGTAATTTCATATGGTAGTTGGTTCCAAAAAATGCAAAACTTAATGGTGAAAAGTTTGCCTTATTGGTTTTTCGGTGGGTAGGCACCTAATGAAGGTAGTCGTGGTTTTGCAGCAGATATGATTTATTATTTGCCCATGTTATGGATTAGTCAATGAAACAGTGTTTCCTGATGACATTTCAAGACGACGAACAGAACTGAGAGAAACCACTACTACGCAGTCAAGGATACCTGAGATGATAATCAGTAGTAAAATCAATACTTCTTAATAACCGAAAATGTCACGACGCCTTCTCAACACGGTTTTATAAAGTCCAGGTCTTGTATGACATGCCACCTATAACTATTTGATTTTATCACTGGAATTGACCAGTCAGAACGTTTAAAACTTTATCAGGACAATGAAATTCTTCTGTCTCCGTTCGTACCAGCAGAAAATGCCGATGTTTGACTATCAAATCTTTTGCACTGTCACCTGTATCTTACGGTGACACCACAGGCACAGTTAAAAATGTCCGCAATTCCGTTTTGGGGTAAGTGAAGACTGCTATCATTTGGTGTAGTCACTAGTCCTGCTGCTTCCAACATATGCTTCCCATTTCGTTATTTTGATGCTAACTGGCTGAACCAGTATCTAAAGTTTAGTGGTCGGCTAATGATATAGTTTCGAGAAGTAACCACTATTTATGTCTCACCAGCATCAAAAATGATTGACGGTCGTCCAGAATTTTCAATTAGATGCTTAATTATGCACCAGTTGTAGTTCGTATTCTAAATTTCACACTTTCTTTCCTCATCAACTATGAAAACAAGCAAAATGAGGAGATTTATTCCTGAACATGTGTGAGAAATATGTCACTGAATCACCCTCTTCATTCTGAAACAACCTATCTGATGACGACATCGGAGAACTAATTGGTGAAGTGATTAACTCAATTCACAGTAGCAGCAAAATCTTAACACACCACATACTACAAACAACAATATAATTAATCCCAGCACAACTCCTTTTGGAGTCAACCAAAGCTACGATAGTCTAGTGACGGGACGAACTGCGCAGAATTTTACCAAAGACCAGGAACATCTACCTCACAACGAAGAAGCGAGCACGAAGAATTCAAATCGTTAAAACGATATTGGATGTTGAATATCCTCTGGCGGCGCGAGTTTTGGCAGTTGTGTTGTACTGTATCTGTAAGGAGAAGTTAGTCTTGTTTCTTCATTTTCCTAACTGTCCATAACCTAGGGTGATTGTCTTATTAGCATTTTCCCCCAGCACTTTCAGTCTGGGGCGATTGGAGGTTTCTTTTGGATACGTAAATGCACCTGGGAAGATTGGGTAAAACGTGGGTAGGCGATCAGATGAGATGTGGGCAAATTGTGGATGAACCGCCACATGTTTACCAAAATTCTCCTACATTCCCACTTTTCAATCGGAATTCATCATACATTTCCCTTATTTAACCGGAAAAATTGCCCCACTAATTACTGAAGTCATTCTTGTAGACTACTTTGTCAGTGCATAGATTTAATCTTTAATTTGAGCTAGTTCGCTGCACTTAACATTGCCATACTGTTCGAAGGTTTCTGTCTATAACGTGAATATATGTGTCCATTCATTTTCCTCTGCAGCACTAAACATTTTTACTCCTAAAATCGAATTCATTGTGTATCAGTCCTTAACAGCATCATTATTATTCATCGTCATATAGTGTTAGCTGTTCTGTTGTCCAGCTGTTTAAATACCCGTCGATAGTCACACATCACTTATGTTGAGCGACACTGTAAAACCCAAACCATTGACTTCTGTGTGGACTGAGTAGTGCTGAATTCTATGCGGTTCTTTGAAAATGTGGTGGTAATTGAGGGTGACTGCATATCAATTCTCAGAGTAAGGCAGGTAAAACTAATATGAAGTAGTACTTTTGAAATCTTTATCTTTGTACCTTTGTGATGTTGATAGTAACTAGATAGATATCAAACTCAACGGATGAGCTCATTCATCATTTATCGTCACAGACTTCTAGTTTTAAATTGCCATTCATCGTAAGGAATGTAAGGAAAAACTGTCTTTCGAATAACTTGAACAATACAAGAGACGAAATAGTGTGAACGGACTAACTCTGTAATTATCATTTATGAAGGGAAATATCGAAAACCAAAGAGATAAGTAAGGCAGTGGAGATTATTTGCGGTCAGTAGGCATTTTTGGGAGGTTATGGAATTAGTGTTAGAGAAATCGCATTCGTTTATAGGTTAGTAGTTTGCTAGATGATGTAGATGAAAGTAGTGAACAGCACACTGAAAAACAGACTTCGTTCTTCCAGTATTAGCGAAATGTAAATTTCCTCTTGTGACAACACTAATTAGCTCCGTTATTATGACTTTCAAATATGTTTCTATAATAATACGGGAGGAAACTGGTTTCAAACGTGGTCTTAGGTATATTAGTTGGTTGACTTTCAATCAGGTACTTGTTATTATCCCACACTAGTTACATTTTTGGGTTGTTCTCTCAGGTGGGTGGTTTAATTGGGAGGCCCTCAGTGTGCTACTGGACAACATCTTCAACACTGACTTCAATTTTTAGTAAGCTGTGGGAATTCACCATTGATGAAATGTTCGTCTCTCTTGATGACCTTGACTGTTACTGGTTGCTCCAGCAGATTTCCTTACGATTAAATTCACTTATGTTGTTATGGATGCTTTCGTTGACCTAATATTTGATCTTTTAGTAGTGTTGGTCGAAAGATGAGATAATACTCCAGTAGAGGTTCAAAGTAGGGTTATTTTGTTGCAAGTGGAGCGCAAAGTACATCTTTTCCAGTTGTCACAATTCACAGAATTAGAGAAAAATGCTGTGAAACTACAATGGACAAAGATGTGCGCGGGAAAGAATAATTAAATGAAAATTTGGCAGGAATTTTAATATCTAGAGAATGGCAATTTGTGATTATATCTACACCACTTTGAATGACATTAAACCATGCTAGTCTCCATACATAAATATGTAGCATTAGGAAGATCCCAATCTCACAGTTTACGTTTCTCTGTCGGGTACTTTCTGGCAATCCCTAACTCTTACATATCCTAAATTATTTAACATTTCCTGTTGAGGAAGGTAGTGACACCGCCTGTACCATGGGTGTCCTTAAACTTTGAGTTTGCGCAGACCTAATTTTATAACACTATCTTCCGTCTGATAAAAGCAAATCTCATGCCAAGAATATATATATTTTTGCACAAGGTGTTCAAAAAGCTACACTGTGTTAACACTTTTACTTATAATAGAAGTAAATACGTATGGTTATGCTTGATATCTCTAGTTGTCATCACTTCATATGACAAATTTCCTTAAGCTCCTACTTTACTGTGAGTTTGCATTAAGTGACTTCTCTAGTACGGTATATATTGTGATTATCTCATCCTTGAGATGTGCAACATCTTTCGGCATTTTAAATCACCTTCGTGACTTGCAAATTAGAGATTTGCGAATTTGATAAATCAAGCAGGTGTAGTTTCATCACAGTTTCATCTTAAAACCGTAGTTATTCAAACCACCATGTGATCTGTTTAATACCATAAGGGATTCGGCTCTCTGATATGAGTCAAACCGGGCACACCGCTGATGGGCTCCGCCCCAAGTAAGCGTCCGATTTTTAGATCACTTTGACCCGACTATCAAGCACTACTGGTTTGTGTGAGTGGTATACAACCACCACCCAATTCAGCCCATCAGTAGCATATATTTTTCCCTATTTTTCGTCATTCTCTTCACATCAAGACACTACCACCACACTTCTCAATCGGTGGGACCAAATCCCACCTTCATATCAAGAATTATGGCTAAATCGAACTCGTGTGAATATGACCGCATCAGAGAACACGTAGAAGCGTGGAGATAAGATCCACACACCTCTGCTTGGGCCTAAAGCGTGTCTAGCTTTGTCTTGTTTCTTCCAAACCTCACTTAGTTTCTGCAAGTTTTTGATAGTTAGAATTTTAGATGCTATGTTAGTCGAGCCAACCCACTGTAATAATTACGGGATTTTTTCTTTTACTTATTAACGAGAAGGATCTATACCAGTCCAACTGGACTGTGTGGATATGTCACATACTCCTGATATCTCAGTTAACCTGGTCAATAATTCGTTAGCACCACCCTTAAATATCCCTGTAATTACACCGTCAGACCCTAGTATCTTGCTTCATTTTACATTAGGGCAAGTTATGTAACCACTGATGTCTAGGTACTATCCTGGCTGGTGTACATCTGTTATATAGCTGTAGGACATTTGTCTTCCAGATTTTTAGAGGAACGTTCCCGTGGTCTCTCCCAAAAAGTTCTATCCTTCCCGAGAGTCATTTCATTTATCGTACGACTTTTACAGTTTCTCTAATGAGCATTACTTACTACTGGCCCCTCTTTTTTAAAAATTCTTTTCACTTTTATTACGCACAGTTAGCCAGCTTGCATTCAAGAGACTTGCTCTTTGGCTTATTGGTGGTCTGTCAAAATAGATCTTGCATCAATCAGTTCAGAAGAAAAAGGAGAAACTTACTGGTATTTAATAACTCTTGGTTGTCTGTCTGTCTCTGTTTTCGACATAGAACTTTGCACATATGTGCGGCAGTTCAAGTCGCCACACCACTCAGCACACAAAGCAAGAGAAGAAAGTAGGAGAAATGCATAATATAGACAGTAAACAGAGGTGTGAGACAAAGGAATAGTAATAACGAAGAACAAAACAGTTTCATTGGAAATCATAAGTCACAAGGAGTGGATGCATCTGCGCCACTGAGAACGATTTTGAGCCATGTCACCAATTGTTTCCAACCATTGGTTTTTACCGTCCCGAGGACCCCAACCAGGAAGTCTACACCTTCCTACCTGGCTTAGACTAACTGTTGTAGATTTCATTGACTGGTGCCATGTTTTCGTTTGACCGCCGCTAGCTCTTTTCCAGCCTGACCCTATATCAGCTAACATTGCCCGTCGAGGAAGGCGATGACTAGGCATACGTAACACATGTCCTAACCATCTCAGTCGATGTAATTTCACAGTCTCGTCGACTGATTTCCCCTCCTTACCTAGCACTCGACGCCTAACCTCAATATTGCTCACCTTATTATACCACTTCACACGGGAGATAGAACGCAGACACCTATGATCGAAGACAGCTAATCTTTTCATGTCTTCCGCTCTCAATGGCCAGGTCTCACAGCCATAAAGGAGGACGGAGCGGACTGATGAGCAGTACACACGCCCTTTGGTCGATAGTCGGATATCACGTCTACGCCAGAGACGGCGTAAACTGGCATATGCGAAACTAGCCCTCTGTATTCGTACTGAGATTTCGTCAGAGATCAACCCGTTGGGGCTGATGGTACTTCCCAAATAAGTGAAGCGGTCAACGTGCTCTACCACTTCACTTCCTATTTCTAATCTAGGGGTCGGTGTAGTCCAATCCTGCAACATCATCTTACATTTTACAGGGGCGAATCGCATGCCAAACATACGAAGATTGCTGCTCAAGGTGTTCAGAAGACTCTGCATTTTGTCAGCGTCCTCGCCTAGAAGGACTATATCGTCTGCATATTCTAAGTCAACGAGATTATTCCCTGGTAGCAAGTCAATCCCTGAGTCTCTGAAGTGAGTTAGGGTTAAGTCCATTAGTACGTCTATGATGAAATTGAATAGAAATGGGGATAATGGGCATCCTTGACGGACGCCACTAGTCGTCACCACTTCAGATGACAACTCGCCGTAAGCCCTCACCTGGCTGCATGAGTACGAGTAGAGTGCCTTAATCAGTGCAATGTATTTTCTCGGCATTCCCTTTACAGCCAAGCATCGCCAGAGAACCTCTCGGTCGACAGAATCGAATGCCGCCTTTAGGTCAAGAAATATAATGATTGTTGGACGCCGGTAGGAATGCCTATGTTCTAGAATCTGTCGGAGGGTGAAGATATGATCAATACACCCTCTTCCTGGCCTAAAACCTGCCTGGTTTTCTCGTGTTTGTGCCTCCCGAGCACCACTTAGTCTACGCAGTATTATTGAGCCTAGGATTTTAGATACTATATTAGTCAAGCTAATCCCTCTGTGATTATCACAAGAAGACTTGTCTCCCTTCTTGTATATCGGGATGATCAGTGACTTACACCAACCCGATGGGACTTCCTCTGATTCCCAGACGCTGCCTAGAACCTCAGTTAATGCAGACAGTAAACTGTCTCCACCGTACTTAAATACCTCTGGAGTCATTCCATCAGGTCCCGCTGCTTTGCCTTGTTTCAGATTAGTGACAGCTTTAGTAACCTCAGTTAAGGAAGGAGGACCTGTGTCTATATCCCATTCAGGGAGGTGTTGGATGTTCGGCAGGTTAAGTGTGGCTGTAGGCCAATTAAACTGCTCCTCATAGTGTTCTTTCCAGCGTTCCAGTCGTCTATCCTGGGAGCTAATTATGGTGCCATTTTTCTCCGAGATTGTTTCACTTATCATTTGCCTTTTGCCACCTGTTTCCCTGATAAGCCTGAATAGTTGTCTGGTGTTGCCAATCGCCGATGCCTTTTCCATCTCCTTAGCTTTTGTCGCCCACCACTGTTGACGGTCGTCGCGAAGACTTTTTGTTAGTCTTCGTTTAAGTACCTTTCGCTCCTCATCATAGTCGGAGCTCACTGGAATCAGTCTTCTTGCGTCAATCAGCTCGGATGAGGCGGTAGAGATCCAATGACTTTTATTAACTTTAGGTTTTAGCTTATTAACAGCTTTCACAGCTGTGTCTACAGCTAACTGTATGTTGTGCCAGGCTACTTCGGGGGAAGTCCTGCTGTCGACCTCAGGTATTCGTTTCGCTATTTCTTCCTTAAATAAGGACTCAGTGTCTCGATCTAGTTGGGGACGTAACTGTTTTGCTGCCGTCAATTTCTTATGTCCATTTAGTCGTAAGCATAAACATGCGCTGACCAGAGCGTGGTCAGAGTCTACGCACGTGTCCCAGAAGGAGCGACAGTCTTCTACTGACCCTCGCCAACGATACCCTATGGCTATGTGATCTATCTGAGTCCAGCGTTGATTTGGTGATGGAGGTCGCCAGGTTACACAGGGTCTCTCTTTGTGCCTAAAGTTAGTGCTGACTAGGAACAGATAATTATCTGAGGAGAACTGTAGAAGACAATCACCGTTGTTGGTTCGTCGGCAGGGAACTCCATACGTACCACCTACATACTTCTCGGTCTGGCGCAACTTCCCTACTTGGGCATTGAAGTCGCCTGCTAAAACAACTATGTCTGAACGTTCTGCTTTTTGCAGCAAATTAGACAGTTTCCGGTAGAAATCATCTTTTAATTCATCCGGACTGCAGTCTGTTGGGGCGTAAGTGGAGACTACGGAAAGGCAACGACGGGTAGCGCCGTCTTTCCTTCTCTTAACGGACCCGTTCAGACGGACCGCACACATACGACTATCTACTGGGACCCAGACAAGAAGTGATTTTTCCGCCCTAATACTCAGTGCTATTCCTACACCTGCGAGTCCTCGTGAGCTAGCTGAGGGGTCTCCCGACACCCTTAAAGTGAATTTCGCAGATTCACCTTGTTGATCGGGTGAGGTCAAGTGAATGACCACACTCGGGTCTCGTATGTGTGTCTCCGAAACACAACATACATCCATGGCTCTAGATCCCAGAGTTCTTGCTAGTGATGCCTGTTGTCCGATTTGGCAGAGGGTCCTGACGTTAAAAGCTCCTATGTGAAGTTGGCGACGTGGCTTTAAAAGGCTATCTAGGGTGTTTCTATGGCTCTCATCGTTGTTTGTGGTTACAGAGTGAAGTGAAGATGACTCACTAGGCTGATGAATAGTGCTAACTGTAGTAGAGAAGCAAGATGAGGAAGAAGTGAGTAAGGGAGAGTGATGCTCAGGTAGGATTCGTGTGCTTTTGGAAGTGTGTGGGCGGTTGTTACTTCCCGGCTTCCCACACCGTGGAAGTTGGTTGAGTCTTCGGGTACCTGAAATAGATAAAAGGTTAGTGTTGCGTGACCACAGAGCCCAGGGGACAACTGCTTGAGGCCAGTCGCACGCGGCCTGTTTTTGTTTGTTCTTTCTTGTTTGGTGTGTCCCAGTAGCATATTTATCACTTCTGCACTGTGACACGGCAGCAGGAAGCGCGGTCGTTGTTAATCCGGGCCCCGACCGATCCGGTATGATATTTTGTGAATTTGTTTGAATCATAGTATTGGATTGGGTAGCTGCTTTTTGTCTAACCGCTATCCAAACAACCTACAGGAACATAAGTTCCAGCCAGTGTAGTTCGTTGGGTCATTGCGATATGCAAGCCCGACCACCACGTCAAGGTAGCAGCTATCGGTTATCATCAGTTCACTATTTTTGTAGCCGACTGGATATAATACCAGGGGTTCTTCGGGTTAGTATTATTGTCTGACCGACTGTGTTTCCAACGTAAAAATTTGGACAAAAATATGGTAGTTCAAGTTGTTACACTCTTTATAACACATAAAGGTGGAGCTAAAATTCACTGAAACTAATGAACATGTATGTTCAGAAGCATAGGAATCGGATGGATCTGGCAGTTCATATGGAGTGAATGCATCTAAGCCATTGAGAACGACTTTTAACCATGTCACCAACAGTTAGAGTATTATTGCCAGACTTGTTAGTAGTTGTCTCCCCCTTAGATACATGTTTCGTTTTCTCAGAATACTAGACACGGAATTTTCAGCTGCTTGTTTTGTTTGTCCTTCCCATCGTTGAAAGAATGGTTCCTATGGGCTGAGAGCCTTATTTTTTGTAGACTTAGACACTAGTTATTCCTACAGAGTTGAGAAACGGTAAAGGAAATTTCCAGGGAATAGTATTGATAGTACGATGGACAGAGAAAATTTACGTGCTAATGGGTTTCTGTGGGTGAGCACCATGTCCCGTCTACTTATACCGCTTAGGTCGATATCTATGTGAAGTACCTGAAGGAGAAAAATCATTAGCGTCGCGTGGCCATGGTACTCAGGTCTGGCTACACATATTCTGATCCTCTCATCTTCACTAAGGAGTGAAGGTAACTGTCGATAAAAATCTGTAGTACCCTGTTGGAAATGATTTTGATGACGTACGAAGTCTCTGAAATATATAGAAGCAATGACATGACATAACCGATATAAGGATAAGGGGCACTGTGGTAGAGTATAACTCCATTATAGATAAGATTTTATTTTGATACGATCACAGTGTTATACAGTAATATTTACTGATGACGTTTCGAGCACAAATGCAGCAAGAAAGTTGTGTTAGTGCCTTGATATGATAATGAGCAATAATTTGTGCTCGAAACTTCAGCAGTAAATATTACTGTTGCTTGTCCTTTAAAGTTGTCAGGTCAGCGTTTAATTTGTTCCACTAAGTTGGTAATTAAATTTCCTCCACTATATCCCATTAGTTGCATGTTTGTTGATCTCTTCGTGGATAGCGACTTTGTTATCTGATATGGTGTTCTGGGGTCTGTCTTGTCTAAGTCTTGTTCTGCTTCAGTAGCCAGTATATCGTAAAATTCGCCTAAAAGAGACTCTTCGATGAACTACTGGTCTTCTGTCTATTAATGTTCGAATGGGGGGAATTTTCATGAATTAAAAATTTTTTTGTCTTTACTTGCGCTTTTCTTTACTCTTGTATTCAGTACACTCAGCTTCTCTGCTTGCTGTATATCTTTGCACTGGTTCATCTTCTATTTTACTATCCCTTTATGTTTTATTGACTTCTACATCTCCATGGAGAACTATTTCTTGTCTTGCCTTTTATTCCTTTCTAAAAAGGCTATATTTTCACAGAGTTCCAATGTTGCGCCACTCAAGATTCCTCAATAAGAAACGTGATTATACTACTCCGCATTCATTACCAGCTAAGGTTAAATCAACTTGGAAGAAAAATTACGGTTGTTAAATTAGACTCATTTTAAATGACATGCTGCTAAGTCATTCAAAAGACGGGATTACGAGTGAACTAGTATTTGGACTCATTCTAATGTATTTCAACAGTATAGCAACAAGTTGGCTAATTTCAGTCGTTAAATTAATATATTGCAGCGATGCACACAGGCATTATCTCAGACATGTAGGATATTGTTCACAAGACGGCTAAAATCGATGATTGAAGGCTAAAGAGCGTTATCGAAATTTGATCGCAGTAACACTTAGTGTTAATTTTAACTGTCATGGCACATTTCTACTGCGAGTGTTCTTTGAATTTTTCTTCTGTTATATTTTCGTGCTTTTTCTGAGACATAATAACTCCAGTCGTGATATGATAATATCAGGACTTTTGTCGAATATATTTTCCAAATGTTGGTTGTAACTACGAAAGGTCGACGAACACTTGTGAGTCTGCTGAAATTTTGAGCTCCTATTTCCCATTCTGATTACAAACCAACTTATAAATGAAATTTAGTACGATTGTATATAGTCTCAAGGTGTTTTTCTGAGTCACGTATGGACGTGTAGTTATTTCGATAATTAGTACATTTGAGATGCTGAGACGGAGTATTTGGAGGCTATATGTGAAATGGCCGACTCCAGTGCACATGTTTTCTTTGGTATAAAATAGTTATAACTTCAAAAGCCACTATGAAGTGCAACTATTCACACCTTTAAGTGTCTGCTTCCATTTGTCCACAAATGTCAGTTAGAAATCAACCACTTGTTGCGTCGTGTTATATTAGCACCCGAGTTAGTAAATGAAATTAAGTTTGTAATGCTATCTATCTTGATTATCTTATTAACACTTGGTTGATGCAGGCCAGACGTACCAATTCAGAAAAGGCGTGAATCATGGCAAAACACCACCCAGATCTTATTTTTTGCAGAAAACAACCAGGAGTGGGTAAGAGTGATGTTTCTCTAAAAGCATTTGAATATAAAGCTATTGGTAGGTTGTGTGAAAAGTGTGATGGAAAATGTGTTATATGTGATTCGTATGTGCGTCCATGCACTCTAGTTCGGATATGTGATGAATGTAACTACGGTTCTTATCAAGGACGTTGTGTTATATGCGGTGGACCCGGTGTTTCAGATGCCTATTATTGCCGACAATGCACCTGTTTGGAAAAAGACGTGAGTTTCCTCTGCTTCTGTTTCATTATATTCTACAAATTTAGAGAGATGGTTGTCCGAAAATTGTCAATTTAGGAAGCGCGAAAACGGACCTATTTTACGAGCGAAAGAAATATGGCTTCAAAAAACGATAACTCATACATCCAGATCACAGTCATTGTAAATGTCACTTTCTATAAATAAGCAATAAACCTTTTACCCACAATTCAATTTTCAATAACTTTTCAAAACAGATACATAACCCAAACCAACTTTGCCACGAGAATTCTAACATACCGATCACAAGATAATTAAATTGACTTATGTAACTGGTAGGAAGACTGTATTTTCAACTTTCGCTTCACGTTGTAATTCGAGACCGTGTAGACAGGCAAGAAGTTTGTGTGAGTCAGTTGATGAGTGGGTTACAGCATAGATGTGTCATATTCGTATCAATGATACTAAGCGATGCTCGTCAAATCAGTAGTACCGTATTCTTCTTTCAGAGAAGTTAGTTGATGGGGGGTAATATTGCATTATATTGTTACTTTGTTCAGAGTGAAGATTTCTAGATAGAGAGGCGGATTTATTCAATAACACGTGAGATAGCTATGCATGAATGACGCTGGCCACACTTCATTCAAACTGTTGACTACTTCTGTTTGAGCAGTGCTGACTGCCTGACTGAGTGGCAGGCTGGCTGACTGAATGACTGACTGACTGACTGAATGAATGAATGAATGAATCAATCAATCAATGCATGAATGAATGACCGTTTGAGTTTCAGCATAGAAGTTTGCAGAGAAGTGCAGCAATTCAAGTTGACACACTGTATGTATCACACAAAGGTAGAGAGTAGAGAGAAGGAAGAAATTCAAAGGAACTCTAATGAGCAGAAATGTAGGCGAGAGGGAATAGTAAGATGGGAAGACACGAGGGTTCAGTGTAAATGGGAGATGACAAAGCGTGAATGCATCTGAGCCATCGAGAAGGATTTTCAGTCATAGCACCAATAGTCTGCAGACATTGGTACTTATCATCTCGAGGTCCCCAACCAGTCAGTCTATACCTGGCTACGTGACTGAAACACCAACAGTGAAAGACTGCATGGATTGATGCCAGGTTTTGGTTTGACCACCGAGAACTCCTTTCCAACCTAATCCTGTGTCAGGTGACATTGCTCGTGGAGGAAGGCAGGCGGTGAGGTGGCTCGTCATGCGCAACACGTGTCCTAGCCGTGTCAATCGGTGCAGCTTGACTGACAACTTCATCTATCGACTCCCCTTCCTCACCTAGCACTGACTCTACGCCTAACCTCAATATGTGTCACCATATTATACCACTCTTAACTAACACGAGAGATAGAAGGCAAACCTCTGTGCTCAAAGACAGCTAGCCTCTTCATCATATCTGCGACTGTCAATGGCCATGTCTGACAGTCAGCCATAAAGAAGGAGAGAACCAACTGCTTTGTAGTGAACTCGTCTTTTCACCGATAACCGGATATCACGTGTACACCAGAGATGACGTACGTTGTCGAATGCCACACCAGCCTTTTGTATCCGTGTTGAGATTCCGTCGGAAATCAGTCGATTAGGGCTTATCAAATATAGACAGATCACTGTAGGGAGAGCGTCATCATGGTTGTATCACTTATCACTGATTAGATAATTAAATTGACTTATGTAACTGGTAGGAAGACTGTATTTTCAACTTTCGCTTCACGTTGTAATTCGAGACCGTGTAGACAGGCAAGAAGTTTGTGTGAGTCAGTTGATGAGTGGGTTACAGCATAGATGTGTCATATTCGTATCAATGATACTAAGCGATGCTCGTCAAATCAGTAGTACCGTATTCTTCTTTCAGAGAAGTTAGTTGATGGGGGGTAATATTGCATTATATTGTTACTTTGTTCAGAGTGAAGATTTCTAGATAGAGAGGCGGATTTATTCAATAACACGTGAGATAGCTATGCATGAATGACGCTGGCCACACTTCATTCAAACTGTTGACTACTTCTGTTTGAGCAGTGCTGACTGCCTGACTGAGTGGCAGGCTGGCTGACTGAATGACTGACTGACTGACTGAATGAATGAATGAATGAATGAATCAATCAATGCATGAATGAATGACCGTTTGAGTTTCAGCATAGAAGTTTGCAGAGAAGTGCAGCAATTCAAGTTGACACACTGCATGTATCACACAAAGGTAGAGAGTAGAGAGAAGGAAGAAATTCAAAGGAACTCTAATGAGCAGAAATGTAGGCGAGAGGGAATAGTAAGATGGGAAGACACGAGGGTTCAGTGTAAATGGGAGATGACAAAGCGTGAATGCATCTGAGCCATCGAGAAGGATTTTCAGTCATAGCACCAATAGTCTGCAGACATTGGTACTTATCATCTCGAGGTCCCCAACCAGTCAGTCTATACCTGGCTACGTGACTGAAACACCAACAGTGAAAGACTGCATGGATTGATGCCAGGTTTTGGTTTGACCACCGAGAACTCCTTTCCAACCTAATCCTGTGTCAGGTGACATTGCTCGTGGAGGAAGGCAGGCGGTGAGGTGGCTCGTCATGCGCAACACGTGTCCTAGCCGTGTCAATCGGTGCAGCTTGACTGACAACTTCATCTATCGACTCCCCTTCCTCACCTAGCACTGACTCTACGCCTAACCTCAATATGTGTCACCATATTATACCACTCTTAACTAACACGAGAGATAGAAGGCAAACCTCTGTGCTCAAAGACAGCTAGCCTCTTCATCATATCTGCGACTGTCAATGGCCATGTCTGACAGTCAGCCATAAAGAAGGAGAGAACCAACTGCTTTGTAGTGAACTCGTCTTTTCACCGATAACCGGATATCACGTGTACACCAGAGATGACGTACGTTGTCGAATGCCACACCAGCCTTTTGTATCCGTGTTGAGATTCCGTCGGAAATCAGTCGATTAGGGCTTATCAAATATAGACAGATCACTGTAGGGAGAACGTCATCATGGTTGTATCACTTATCACTGATTAGATAATTAAATTGACTTATGTAACTGGTAGGAAGACTGTATTTTCAACTTTCGCTTCACGTTGTAATTCGAGACCGTGTAGACAGGCAAGAAGTTTGTGTGAGTCAGTTGATGAGTGGGTTACAGCATAGATGTGTCATATTCGTATCAATGATACTAAGCGATGCTCGTCAAATCAGTAGTACCGTATTCTTCTTTCAGAGAAGTTAGTTGATGGGGGGTAATATTGCATTATATTGTTACTTTGTTCAGAGTGAAGATTTCTAGATAGAGAGGCGGATTTATTCAATAACACGTGAGATAGCTATGCATGAATGACGCTGGCCACACTTCATTCAAACTGTTGACTACTTCTGTTTGAGCAGTGCTGACTGCCTGACTGAGTGGCAGGCTGGCTGACTGAATGACTGACTGACTGACTGAATGAATGAATGAATCAATCAATGCATGAATGAATGACCGTTTGAGTTTCAGCATAGAAGTTTGCAGAGAAGTGCAGCAATTCAAGTTGACACACTGCATGTATCACACAAAGGTAGAGAGTAGAGAGAAGGAAGAAATTCAAAGGAACTCTAATGAGCAGAAATGTAGGCGAGAGGGAATAGTAAGATGGGAAGACACGAGGGTTCAGTGTAAATGGGAGATGACAAAGCGTGAATGCATCTGAGCCATCGAGAAGGATTTTCAGTCATAGCACCAATAGTCTGCAGACATTGGTACTTATCATCTCGAGGTCCCCAACCAGTCAGTCTATACCTGGCTACGTGACTGAAACACCAACAGTGAAAGACTGCATGGATTGATGCCAGGTTTTGGTTTGACCACCGAGAACTCCTTTCCAACCTAATCCTGTGTCAGGTGACATTGCTCGTGGAGGAAGGCAGGCGGTGAGGTGGCTCGTCATGCGCAACACGTGTCCTAGCCGTGTCAATCGGTGCAGCTTGACTGACAACTTCATCTATCGACTCCCCTTCCTCACCTAGCACTGACTCTACGCCTAACCTCAATATGTGTCACCATATTATACCACTCTTAACTAACACGAGAGATAGAAGGCAAACCTCTGTGCTCAAAGACAGCTAGCCTCTTCATCATATCTGCGACTGTCAATGGCCATGTCTGACAGTCAGCCATAAAGAAGGAGAGAACCAACTGCTTTGTAGTGAACTCGTCTTTTCACCGATAACCGGATATCACGTGTACACCAGAGATGACGTACGTTGTCGAATGCCACACCAGCCTTTTGTATCCGTGTTGAGATTCCGTCGGAAATCAGTCGATTAGGGCTTATCAAATATAGACAGATCACTGTAGGGAGAACGTCATCATGGTTGTATCACTTATCACTGATTAGATAATTAAATTGACTTATGTAACTGGTAGGAAGACTGTATTTTCAACTTTCGCTTCACGTTGTAATTCGAGACCGAGTAGACAGGCAAGAAGTTTGTGTGAGTCAGTTGATGAGTGGGTTACAGCATAGATGTGTCATATTCGTATCAATGATACTAAGCGATGCTCGTCAAATCAGTAGCACCGTATTCTTCTTTCAGAGAAGTTAGTTGATGGGGGGTAATATTGCATTATATTGTTACTTTGTTCAGAGTGAAGATTTCTAGATAGAGAGGCGGATTTATTCAATAACACGTGAGATAGCTATGCATGAATGACGCTGGCCACACTTCATTCAAACTGTTGACTACTTCTGTTTGAGCAGTGCTGACTGCCTGACTGAGTGGCAGGCTGGCTGACTGAATGACTGACTGACTGACTGAATGAATGAATGAATGAATGAATCAATCAATGCATGAATGAATGACCGTTTGAGTTTCAGCATAGAAGTTTGCAGAGAAGTGCAGCAATTCAAGTTGACACACTGTATGTATCACACAAAGGTAGAGAGTAGAGAGAAGGAAGAAATTCAAAGGAACTCTAATGAGCAGAAATGTAGGCGAGAGGGAATAGTAAGATGGGAAGACACGAGGGTTCAGTGTAAATGGGAGATGACAAAGCGTGAATGCATCTGAGCCATCGAGAAGGATTTTCAGTCATAGCACCAATAGTCTGCAGACATTGGTACTTATCATCTCGAGGTCCCCAACCAGTCAGTCTATACCTGGCTACGTGACT